AAGCAAAGAGCACTAGAACCTGTGCAAAAAAGGTAACACCCGCAAGAAGGGAAAAAAGAAGAAGTTGCTCCAAAAGTAAGTGTCAAATTCTATTTTTTTGGTTTGCAGAAGAGCAACTCCTTTTCTTTTTTTGTTGCGAATTTTGGCGTGAGAATACTTTTCGGACGATTTTGGACGTACAAGGTATGGAGTACTTTGGACCTTTCCAAAATAACAGAGGCGTTTTGAGACATTGTGTCACGTTTTGAGCTTTAAGCCGTAATCCCATGAATCCCTAATACCATTAACTCGGCTTAGAAAAACGATGAAGGTGTTTAATAAAAAAAAACTTTTTCAAACAATAAGAGGTTTTCGGCAAGCTCCTCACAAGTTTTTGCAGTGGCGTGACATAAACGATAAAACTCCCATTTGCGCTGGGAAGCTTGAAAATAGAAGAATTTGCTGCTCCAAAATTGGGGCTGTGAAACGGCCCCAATTTTGGGGTTGCGGTTTGACAACCCTCCAATTTTGATGCAAATTTGTCAAAACTAAACCCTCTTAAACCAGGGTTCAACCACTTGAGTTCTGGGTTGTAAATTCAAAAGAAAGTCCTGCCATGCGCTCAACCTCCTTTGGGCAAGTGGGATCCAGGGTTTTTGTTGGGCTGATGATCAAGAATTCTCTTTGCGAAAGTCCGTCAAACTTGTGAAGGCCCCGGCCCTTGCCGCCATTTACGCGCAGGCAGACAGCACGTTCAGCGCACCTACCCGAGAGCGGCCTGCACAGATAAACCGTGCACGACTGCACATTACTGCGACGGTCATGAGCCTATGAGGAACATGAGCCCGGTCTTCATGGCTTTCATAGCCTGGCGCGGCGCTTGCTACTTGGCTCAAATTCCAGGATTTGAAAACGAGGAGTGGGCAGTAAGCAGCGTCTGCTAGACGGCATGAAGCAGACACACGCAACCTAAGCTTGAGAACAAGAATAATCGTTCAATCACGAGATGGTTCTTATTCACTTGATTTTTCAAAACTTGAAAATACATTCCTCGCGGAAGCATAAGGCTGTGTCAACATGATACATACACGCCATGTTCCACAACACGCAGCTCTCGGATGCTGCATGTTCGTCACTTCCTCGGGCTTGCTCATCACGGTTCCGCGGACTCGACTTTGCCTTTGACCTGGCACCTCTGTCTTCACGCGCATTACTATCACAGAACCAAGAAGCAAGGTCGGGCAGGCGTTCCCGAAGCACTTTCCTCTGGTACTTTCAGCGCTTTGTGGAACCGACCGGCAACACCTGTGCGTGGACCTTTGCTCAAACCTCACATCAGCTTCTACGTAATTTGCGTAACAACCTGCAATTGCACCGACAATGCTTCTGGCTCACAATCGGCAACAGCAAGATGCGGCGAACATGCAAACAATGAGCAACATCACAACCAGCGCTTGCGACGGACGGATACTAACTCAAAAATTCCCAAAGCACTCAAGAACTGATAAAAACATTAGTGGAATAATCCTGTTCTCATCACCGTCGTCATCCTGACGATGACGTCGCAAGACGCATGATCGACAGTATCTGAGACTGGCTTCACCACGTTTGGCAAAAAGTGTCACAACACACTGCTCTGATTGCACGTGCATTCTCGATGGCTGCATGCGCTTGTGCAAGAGAGCACAGCTGTTGTCTGCATCTTGATGCCTATCAGCTCCAAAAGGTTCGGTGCAACTGAGTTCAAGGACATCACTTGTTGCAAGCATCTTAACCGGACTACGACCAAAAACTGCAACTTTAACAGTTCACTGGGCGCCCAGACACCAAGTTTTCCTTCTCCAGACTTTTAAAGGTTGTTGGATGACTTTTGCTCAAACACTCAATGCTGTGGGTTGCTTTAAGGGACCACTGTCAGCAATCAGCCTCTTTGCCATGCCCTAAAGGCGTCTGTCGCTCAAGATCTTAGCACAAAAGGGGATGTCAACCACATGATGTGCAAAATTGATGGTAGCAGTGGCACTTGCACCCTTTGATCCTTCAGTGACTCAACATAACTCGAAAGACTTGATGCTTCAGGTTATTAAGCAGTCAACTGCAAGAGCTGTCGGGTGGCGCCTGGAGCTGAGGCACAAGAAAATCCTGAGCGGAATCCAGAAGATCTGCAATCTGACTACAACAAGACAACAAACATCAGGTGGATCTTGACAAGAAAGGTAAGTGGTGCTCCAAAGCCAGGTTGGTGGTTGGGGTATTAGGCCAACAACTTGCTAGAGGTCAAGACAGCAGTACCAACATTGTCTCGAACTGGCAGAACATGCCGGCAAACAGTGGCATGATCCTGGAAACCGGAGACGTCACATTGGCATTTCTTCATTGAGATTCGAACGACCTCCAGCGAGACTTGTGCGCAAGACAAACTTCTTTTGGGCGGGATGCTCTTCAGGTTTTGCTAGATCGAGGTGGTTCGATCGCTTGCTTGACTTTGTCTCGTTTGATGAATGTGGGGGGCTCCTATTGAAGGTTTTATTGAAGCACAGACCTTCCATTCCAAGACTAGGAATTGCAAGAAAGCTGCCAAGCGTGCCATGCCACTGGTTGCCCCCATGACTGGGCCGGTGCATGGCACCAAGCCGGCGTCGAACTTGGGTTTCGTGGGATGCATCTCCTTTCGGACTTTTGGTGAGGGTTCCGGGTTTTAGGAGTCTCCAAGCGGAAAGCAGCAGCGCAGAGGCGTCAGCCATCCTGCGGAGTTGCCTTGGAAGGTGGATGCTTCTTCAGGGGTATCATTCCATTCCCTCAAGGTCACCACTCTGAACTGGTGTGGCAAGAGGGGTTTAACCAGTTCGACTGTTTGATGTTGGGTCACCATGTCACTGGGTCCAAATCGCGTGCGGTCACCTCACGTGAACTTTCAGCGCACCGCTGCGCTCTTATGTCGCCATGCTGAAGGGTGTTCAAGCCAGACTCCAGGTCAGGTTGGTTGTCCGACTGCGCCACTTTTGCACCTTCGCATGCAGACTTTCGTTTTGAAACCCGAAGCGGCGTGGGATCCTTGCCAGTGAACTGCTGTATCCTTGGGCCCAGGCTGTTGCGTGCGCCGCTCGCTCCCCACAGGAGTTTCCGGAGAGCCCGCTTCTTGCACAGGACGCACCTGACGAGTTTATGGAAGGGAGTTCGGGATCATGCTGATGTTCACGATGATGAGGCATCCCTTCCCTCCTGGGGGGGTGCCTTGCCTGACAACATTGCCTTGCCCGGTGTTGAGTGTGAGCGCGATGCAGGGGGTGCAAGTAGCGATGAGTCAGATAGCAGTAGCTCGAGTGACAGCAATGCGTCCTCAGGGCAATCGATTGCCGAGGAGGGCATCCTCCGGAATGCCGGAGCTGCCCAAAGTTTTGATGTACCGGGCCCGTTATGGCAGCACAAAGGATCGAAGATGCTGCAAAGCGGTGCAAGGCTCGGAGATGACCAAATGCTCGCATTGAACAGGTGGGAATGCCTACCTGTATCTTCCTGAGGGCTCTGTGTCGAAATGGACACGATGTTCGACATGGTGGCTGCCTTGGATGCGCTGAGCGCACCCAGAGCATCCACATGATGGTGTGGAACGAGGGGAGCCGATGCAGTTTTGTTTTCTGAACGTGGCTGAACGCAGCTAAAGAAACTCGTGTGCGAGTCGGCAAGTTAAACTTGCCTGGATGGATCTCAGGGGTTGATCTTGAAGGCAGAAGCTGAATCTCGTGATTTCCCTGAAAATCAGACAATTTCGCCTTGGGCGGAATCTCGGGTTTTTCCTGAAAAACCGACAATTCGGCCTGGGGCTCCTCAGCTGAGAACCCAACAGGAAAGTTTGCATGCGAGTCGCTTGCATTTGATCGTGCTTGGATTTGATATATGCCGTCCACTTTGGGTGCACTCGTGTGTGGTGGTGTGCAGCCGAGTCTTGACGGTGGGGTTTGTAGATTTGGTTCGGGAACACATCACACTTGTGCTGCCTGTTAGGAACTGATGCAAACCACCTGGATTGGAATGCTTGGTCAGTGTGCACCATCCTCTTCTTAAGGCATTTTGCCTCAAGAGCAGCAACATGGCGGCCACTTCCGTGTTGGCATCGACACCGGCTTTAGAGAAGCAATGTGAAAAGGTCGGCCTCTCTGATGAATGGACCAAGGCGATGATCGCTGCGCACGTTGACACCTTGTCTAAGGTCTCCTATGCAGTCAGCTTACCGGGCACGCCCGCAACCGACACCAACATCGAGGACTTCGCGGGCAAACTTCGACCAGGTGTTGCTCTTTCTTTGGGCGACAATGCAGCACTTAAGCGCTTGGTCTTTGAAGCTCAGACACTTTGCATCGCCGAGCTGCGGAGTTCGGTGCAGGTTGGTGAAGATGCTCCGCGCAAGCTGCCGGCTGCAGAACGTGCTCTGCGGATAGAGCAGCAAGCAGCTCGCCTGAAGGGACTGCCTCTGGCCAAAGGTGCATGGCAATGTGCGCACAGCCTCTACGATCGTTTTGCTCACATGAGAGAGACCGAAGAGCTTCGCTTTGTCCCACCTGATGAATGCATCACCCGGGATCAGGAGCTTGCCGGCAGTAAGGCACCGAAGTCTGTGCAGCTGGATGCAAGCAAGTCGGGCCTCATCGTGAAGGATGAGGAAATCACCAATACAATGAACATCACCTCAGATCACGAACTTTACCTGAGTTTCATGAGGCGCGCTTTGGCCATGGATCTGGTGGGCCTCGCCGCGCCAGCTTTGATGTGATGCAGAAGTGGATCGAGCGGCTGTTCGATGTGATGAACCAGGATCCACCTCCGAACTTCTCCCGGGTCTCTCGTGCCCAAGTCCTTCATGCAGATCGCCAGGTCTTCGTCGAGTTGGCCCGGAGAGTTAATGGAGGGCTGAAAGCCCTCGCCGATGGCTCGCTACCGCTGGATGCAGAGTTTCGCAATTCGCCGGGCAACACTGAGATCATGTACTTCTTGCTACCGACACCGGAGAAGGGCAAGGGCAAAGGCAAAGGCAAGGGAGACAAGCGCAAGCATTCGGGCGATGGCGATGAAGGTGGCGACAAGAAGAAGACCAAGACCACTCGCGATCCCGTACCCAAGGAGCTTCAGGGTTGCCATAGCCGGACTCCCAAGAATAAGCCGATTTGTTTCAACTATAACTTGGGCAAGTGCAAAAAGGGCAAAGCTTGCAAGTTCGAGCATGTGTGTTGCAGACCCAATTGCTATGGCAAGCACCCCTTCTCCCAGTGCCCGAAAGCCAACGAAGCTGCTGACGTTGCTACTTCTGCTGAGTGACTATCAGCAGACCTGTGCACAGGCGACCTTGTGGCTGTCGCTGTTCCTACATCGTCCACCGATGATGTCAATTCTCCTTGTCCTGCCGTTGATCATGCTTCGTTGCCTGTTGATTTTGATGTGCAAAGCCAGGTGCCTCGGCTTGTTAAACCCGTCACGCAATGTGTGGGTGAGACTCCGCGGGGTTTTTGCCTTGAGGTTTTTGCTAAACATGCCCAATTCACGGCTGCAGTGCGTCGTGCTTTGCCTTGTTCCTTTGGGGTGGGTTACGGTTGTTCTGCCACATCACGTGCCCCGATCGTTCATGCCGATCTCTTGAGTCCTGCAGGGCTTGCGCTGTGTGCCTCATGGGCACGGGAGGAACTGTGCTTGTGGGTGCACATTCGGTGTCCATCTACTGTCTTCCCGATTGCACACAAAGCCCACTTAAGCCCTCTGGGTGATGATGCCTCCGCTGTGTTGTCTTTGGCCCGCCAACTCATTAAACACTGCGACTCTACCCCTTGGTCCCTTGAGTGTCGTGAGCGATCTCTGTTTTGGCAAGATGAGTGGGCCAGCTCCTTGCCGTCCCTTACTGTCAACATGTGCCAGTTTGGCCATATGCACCGCTCACCTGTCAGGTTGGCCACTCGTCATCCGGAAGCATTCCGTCATTTGGCTGTTCCATGTCAGCATGAGCATGTGTCCACTGCCACAACCACCAATCGTGTGCCTCCAGAGGTTATTGCTGCCTTTTATGATGCTGTGGGGACTGCTATTCTCGGGTTCTTGCGGTTCCCGCCCCTCACTCCCGGCCCCACTCCCTTGCATTTGGCACAGGTGGCTGCCGGCTTGCAGCCCCGACGCTCGCATCTCTGCCTGGTGCTTGAGTCTAAGTGCATTGCCAATGTTCGCCTCCCGGAGCTGCCCCCTCTTCAGGATGGCAAACTGAAGCAAGAGCTGATCGTGGGTGACGTTTGCGTGCCCGCCGGATCCAAGCACTTGCTCCCTGGTTCTCAACGGGGGAAGGATGGCCAAGGAGCAAGTGCAGCAGTGGGCGGATCTGATCCTCCCTTCTGTGGACCTTCCCTTCCTCACCCTAAGTTAACTACGGTCTCGACGTCCGCGGCCCACTCCTCTTCCCCTAAGCCCTCTAAGCTGCCCATGGTCACGAGTTCTGAGACCGGGCGCCCTAACCCACAGAAGGTGAGTGCTGCATCATGTGTGGACACAAATCAGGATGTTTTCTCGCATGAAGCTGAGCTGGTTGCCAGCCGTCTGGGCGATGTGCCCACACGGGAGGAGCTCCTGAGCATATTTGCCTTGCATGCTGCTGACCCGGCTAAAGGCATGGCCGGGATTCGCGCGAGCGAAAAATCTTGGTCAGCAGGTGCTTACGCCATGGGAGGCTGTGTCGGCGTCCGAAAGAATGCTTCCATGTTCCCTGTGTTCACCCGAGCACTGGTCCGGTTCCTCAGGCTTCAGATCCCCGATGCCAGGTTTTCATGCGTTGCTATCTTTCGCGATATGTTGCAGGGTATGCACAAAGATATGTGCAATCAAGAGGGTACGCTCAACTATGGGGTTGCACTCTCGGACTTTTCAGAAGGGTTTGTGTGGGCTCACGACCCGGCGGGCAAAGTTCACAAGCACACGCCATCAGGTAAGCTGCCGGGGGTGTCGCACGACATTGCAAGTGCCCCGGTGCGCTTTGATGCGAGAAAGTTTCATTGCGTCATGCCGTGGCATGGACAAAGAGTCGTGTTGATTGGCTACACACCGCAAAGGTGTTGCGCCCTCAGTGCAAAAGAGGTTCGTTACCTGCTTAGCTTAGGCTTTCCGTTGCCGTGGGTTGACACGCCGTCTCCTACTGTGCCTCCAGTTCTCGATGCACCTGTTAAGCAACGCTTGGAAAATGTCGCTGACTCTGGTCCCGTGTGCTCTAAGCTACCTTGTGCTTCTACGGCTGCATGCAATTCCCACTTGTACACCTTCGGTGTTTACCACTCTGAAGCCGAGTTTGTGCACAAGGCCGTGCAGGTGGGGCATCCGAGGAGCCTCTATGGGAGCTTGCCCCAAGCCATGGAGGAGTGTGTCGACGCGTTGCTTGTCATGCCTGAGGCTTCAGTTGTCACTAAGCGTGCGGCGTGGCTTGCGCATTGGACTGCTCGTGCCAAGGCCATCCAGGAGAACCCTGATCCTGATTGGCACATCCAAGATCCTGCAATGCGTGCTATCCTTGGACGGAAGAGGCTGCAACTGCTTGATGAGATCCTTTTATCGGAAGGGTACGGCGATTGCACACTGGCTAGGGACATGCACCATGGTTTTGACTTGGTGGGAGTTGCGCCGCCTTCGGGTGTGCTGCCTGGCAAGGTCACCCCTGCTTCTCTCGAGCCTGAGGCCCTTAGTGCCAATGCGTGTCGCGCCAATGATGCCTTGCGTGCAAGTCTGCGTTCTTGTGGCGATCCGGAGCTCGATGAGAAACTTTGGGAGAAGACCCTGCTTGAGGTTAAACAAGGATGGTTGCAGGGTCCGCTCGAGTGGTCTGACTTAGGCTCGGGGGAGATAGCGTCACCCCGCTTTCCTTTGTTGCAGAATGGCAAAGTGCGCCCGATCGACGACTACTCTCGATCTGGCGTCAATTGTTGTGTAACCACACTTGAGCAGCCAACCGTGGACACCGCCGACGTGGCAGCCGCCATGTTCAGCAAACTCTCGAACGGCTTGTTGCACAAGGGGAGGTCAGGTGCTCTCCTAGGTAGGTCTTACGACTTGACATCTGCATATCGACAGCTATGCGTGTCGAGGGAGTCGTCACGCTTTGCCATAGTGGCGGTGTTTTGCCCAAAGGATGGGAAATCATACCTATTTCGCCAGCCTTGCCTACCATTTGGGTCGCGTGCATCAGTCAATGGTTTCATTAGGTGCTCGAGGTGCATCCAGTGGATCGCCTCCGGTGCTTGCTTGTGCCACTAACGTCCTACTACGACGACTTCATCTCGGCGTCAACGTGCACTCTTGCTGCCAACACCGACACGACCATGGCGATGCTGTTCCGCCTGTTGGGCTGGCAGTATGATGAGGTTGGTCCAAAAGCTGACGTTTTCAGTGACCGGGTTGAAGCCCTCGGGGTGGCCTTCGATCTGTCTGAGACATGTTCCGGTGTGGTCATTGTGGACAACACCCTCAAGAGGAAAGATGCTCTAGACAGCCTGGTTAGCGAGGCACTTGCAAGGGGGACCCTCGATCATTCTCAATCGCTCGAGATGCGCGGCAAGCTTGCCTTCGCTGATGCACAGGTCCTCGGTCACTCGGGGAAATTTGCTTTGAAGTTGCTATCTGCGCATACCCATGCGATTCCTTTCAAGACGCGCATTGCTGATGACTTGAGCCGTGCTCTGAAGTACTTGAGACAAAGAATCGTTGAGGGCTCTCCCCGGCGTGTGTTGCCAACTGCCAAGGACACGTGGTTTCTTTTCACCGATGCATGTTTCCACGACGCTGGTGATGGTGGTTTAGGCGGGGTGTTGGTGTCTTCCCTGGGTTCGGTGAAGTCGTGGTACTGCCTTCCTTTGTCAGCTGATGACATCCAGCCGCTCATTTCCCACACAGCCCGCACCGGGATTGGCGAACTCGAGACAATGGCGACCTTACTTGGCATCCAACTGTGGAGGGTCTATCTACGGAGCACCAACGTGGTAGCTTTCAATGACAACGAAGGCGCCAAGTTCGCCCTGGTCAAGGGATACTCCAAATCTATGTCAGTCACTAGGATTTGTGTGTGCGACTGTGTGTGAGACCGACATGATCATGCCCTGGTTCTGTCGTGTTCCCTCAGCATCCAACATTGCCGATCCGCCTTCAAGCCCCCGGCTCAAGTCGTTTTCGTGTGCTCGTCTTAGGGGGTGAACGTGCCTCGAGGCCCCCAACAGGTTCTTCTTTCAACCGTGGCCCATCGACGTTTTAGCAGATCCTGAGCCATGGTTTCTTTCATACATGCTGGCATGCTTTGGATGGCTTTGCAGATTTTCATGTGGATTTCATGCAGTGGTGCAGTGCGACGTTGCATGTCTGTTGAAGGATCGAGAGATGCAAGGTCTTCTACTGATGAGCAGAGGGCCCAGCCTCAGCTTTACGAGGTCGCAACGGACCCCATCAACACCACTAGATGCCCCTTGTGGAGAACGCCAGAAGGTCTTCGTTATACACAGCCGCCACATTCTGCACCCTACGCGTATGAGGAACAGCGGGCTCCGCTTCCCCCTCCATTGCAGTCATGGGAACGTCTGGTCAGTGTGCTTCTGTCAGGTTCAGTTGAGTGCTCAGGACGGCAAGACAACCCCACAAGCTCATTGAATGCAGCAACCGACAATCTGCCTTCAGGATCGGCGGAGACTCACAGACCGCTCAGGCCGGTCGACGTCTACCGGGACCCAGGCAGACATGAACCAGATGGGGAGCTGCCCGCGTTGAAGCGTAGGCTCGCTGCTTGTGCACACAGTCTGACTAGAGTGCTCAAGGACAGCCAATACATAGTGGTAATGCAAGAGACATCTGAACAGGCAGAAATCCAACGACGTCGAGATGTGACTTCACCAGCTGTAACTGAGGACCGTAGTAGCCAGAGCAACGCTTGTCAGACACTCAGGCAACTGTCAAACATCATGCTGCAAAATTGCTCGCAGGCGGTTGATGCAGCAAGAGAAATTTACTGTCACCAATCCAGTCCTCGAGAATTGATGTGGCATTGCAGCAACAGCTTCGCTGCATATGCATTACCGGGAGTTTCCTGGCCCCAGCGCGTGAGCACGTGGAAGGCCAGATCATGCAGGCGGGAGCACACATTGAGCTGCATGCTTGGCATTGGTAATTTAACGAGCACTGCTAGAGAACAGAATCCGCTTGCCCGAATTGCAACCTTGATGGCAGTAACTTCCTTTCAGACAGTTGCTCCAAGGCCGGCAACTGCAAAGTCCTCAGTCAGACTTGAACCCGCAAGCATGACAGGGCCTGCGCCAAAGGAGCTGACACGGTGCAGCACCCAGGCACCAGCTGCTTTCGCTCCTGCTTTTCACTCACGAGGGCAAGTGGTTTCCACTCCCAAACAGGTCAGGCACAGTGGGTCATCCAGCTGGTCACAAATAGTAATGCAGACCATTCAGGATGGGCTACGTAGATGGACGCCCTTGACTAGCTCACATGCTGACATGTTATTCACTGCCTTGATGTGGCCTAGACTCAATTCCATCACTCGACACACTGAGGTCAGGGCCACGGCCAACTGCCTACCGAGCGGCATCTCGCGGTCGAAGAAGGCGGATCATGTCTGCGAACATACCGAGTTGCAAACTGAAGACCACACGGCAAGACGTGACTGTTCTGTTCATTTAACATGCGCAATGCATTGGCTCTGCACTCACTTCACAGGGATTGCGGACTCCGCGCCCTTTCGTAGACGGAGCACTCTTGGTCAGGGAAGCTTCTCAAGACTCATAATGTCGGAGGCACCATGTACACCATGCGTGACCTGTGGATGGCGCCCCTGCAGATGCACGTCGTTGGAGGGGGCCCTGCACAGCAGGCTACCTGGCGAACCCCACGAAAGGCAGACATCTGGAGGTTCTGGCGACTCCACTGCCAGCATGATGTGCATTTACTGTCTTGAGCAGCCGTGCGTCTGCATGCAAACAGCTGCAGTTCCGATTGTCGTGCCGAAGTCTACTCACACGGAGGGCGAAGATGACACAGCACACTTCCTGGAAGAGCCCATAGAAGTGGTGAATGCACAGGAAAGTGAAAGGGAAGGCGGACTCCGCACCCAAGATCACCAACCAGTGGAACATGATGCTTCTACCAAAAAGGTAAACACTACGTGGCTTCGCTTCCTTGACGTTGCGCAGAATGATCAAGAAGCATCTCTCCTACGGGCCCTTCCTGAACCATCACTGGAAGTAAGTGACCTTGCGCGAGCGAGCTTCTTCCTTGAACAAATACCCCAGCTCCCGGACCCCTTGAAATCAAGGCTTGTGAACAAGATAGAGGAGCAGCATTCGGATCTCCTACGAGAACCTCGGGGTGTAGATCTGGTCGCACGCTTTGAGGCGCAGCGATTGGAGACGGCGACTATCGGGACAACGGCAGGACACGAGATGCCGATACCGACAACACCAGTGACAGGACCGGAGGGGAATGCGGCCTCCGCCCCTTTCACCACGGAAACAACAGACCTCGACGAGTTCTTAGCAGGTTTTGCTGGCGCTTCTGAGACTGAAGACAATAGTGCAAATCTGCAAGACATAGGCGGGCCATTGGCAGACAGTGGAGAGGCCTCTGGACAAATTGCGTCCACGCCGGATGTACAAAGTGAGGAATCTGATGGAGATGGGCCAAGGTGCTCCAACCGGCCGCCCACTCGAGCATATGAGAGTGCATGCGAGCGTACAGTCCTGATGTGCACGGCAGATAAGAGTGCTAGGGCATGCAACACGGGTGCTTATCGGGCTGCACGATATTCTGCGCAGGACACCCACTCGCAACACGAGAAGCGTGTTGCAACTGGGAAGGTGGACTCCACACCCAGCCGGACACTCAAACGCGAAGAGAGTTACCCAGTTTATGCGATTCATAGCAAACCCAATGCATGCGCCGACCGCCAACAGATCGATGCTGTGAATAAACAAGAACTAATATCTGATTGCAATAGAGCATGCGTGAGTGCCTCTACGATCGGATTGTTCACAAAAAATCACAGCTGTGCATGTGATTGTGCTGCAACGATATGGTATGCCATTAAAACATACACAACCCCACAGCCCATCAGAATGCACGCACGACCTCCACCTGCCCAGGCTGACACATCCACGAGACGGCGCAACGATCCCATCGACACTGGGAACGTGGTCTCCACACCCAGCAGGGCACTCAATTGCCTTGCGAAGCTGCTGGTTTGCATCCTTACGTACACACATGCAGAACAAGAGTTCAGCCATCTAATCGGAGCACACTTTGGCTCATGCCCATTCCTCCCCCCCACCATAAGACCAGCCCTGACGGAAGCACAAGCTCCTCGCCTTCCACTTCTTACACCTGACCTCGGCCTCCGTAATTACACTGAAGATTATGTGCAAGAGACTGAACTTGAGATAGGTCAGGACACCCACAGCGTCACCTTGAACTCTAATCACATAACTACACGGTTCCAGGGACCAGCACCGGGGATACTGGTTTTAACTCCTGCCAATGCGCCTGCCTGCAACATGGGACCCAGTCCGAGCTCAAAGAAGAAGTCATCTCGGCGTTTACCCACAAGACTACGCCAGTCGGGCGCTGCGCCCACAGGCAAACTACTTGCCCTCAGACAGGCCGCTGTGGCAAAGGCGCAGAAGAGGCAAAGGAGTACAGCGGACTCCGCACTCCACGAAGCTACGCGTCAAGACGAACCTGGAGAAGAGCCATCAAGTAGTAGCCGAGTGCGCTTCCACCCGAAGAGACGTAAGCAGGCCAGCTCGGAAGACATGGTGGAGATGGACTACATCATAGAACTCTCTGAACCAGAAGAGGACACGGAGCAGGACACGGTGCCCACACCAGCGCACAATCGAAACCTGACAGCGGTCTCCGCTCAGGCAGCAAGCAGCCGTCGACACCGAGAAGATCCGCCACAGCCCGCCTCGGGCGAACGCCCAACCGCGAGCAAGCGGGGGGAACCGCCTAGACCACCGCTGGCGCGACGAAGAAAGACGGCCATATCGAAAGCACTCACGGACGTCCTGAGACACTCTGGAGCAAGGCATGGATTGGAGGTGAGAGCAGATGCACTCTTTGACCTCCGTGCCGTTCTGGACACGCACAAGCTTAAGGCGCTACATGCACAGGAACACGAAATCCTGCAAGTGGTCGAGGAGAGCGACAAGAAGAGATTTGAAGTGGTCCAGCGGGAAGGGGCAAAGTGGATCAGAGCGGCACAGGGCCACTCCATGGAAGGCATAGACAACTCCACCTTCCAAGTGCGAGTGCCCAGACGCCTGCTGCCACAGGAGCTGTATCACGGCACATACGATGATGCCTACAGCCAGATAGTCCAAAGTGGACTGTTGGCGGGTGGTCCGAGCCGCAAGCGAAATGACATACACCTCACGGAGGGGCTGCCGACTGATCGTCCTATCTCAGGAATGAGAAATACATGCAACATTGCACTCGCGATCCTACCGAAGGAGGCTGCGGCGGAGGGGTGCACGTTCTACAAGAGCGGCAACCAGGTCTATCTCACAAAGGGTATCGGCACACAAAAGGTCCTCCCAGCTCGTTTCATCCACGCCGTGATTATCCTGAAGAGCGGAGAGAGAATCTTGTCAAGAACCGCAGATGGGCCACCGAGCCTCAGGGATGTGCACGCGGGCCTATTGAGGGCCAACGAAGGCATGCGGGCTCCGCGCCGGAAAACCAAAGCAAGAGCTCTTTGCGCAGGGCGTGTCAGTAGGCATTCCTATAAGCTTGGATACATGATGCGCAGCCAAGCCACACTGCATACCCTACGCCCTAAACATGACTATTATGCATGTATGCTTTCCGCTGCCCAGGCCAACCGAGCAAAGATCAATGCCGGGAGCCTGATTCCACGGCACACTGCAACTGAGCCACGCTGCATCCCAGTGCACGGCGTTCATCTAAGCAAGTGGATGAGCCCGGCTAAGCTCTTATGCAAGGCCGCAATGCCTGAGACCACGACCAGTCTCCTCCTCTCGATGGTCGGGATCTCTGTCAGGGTCAGACGCAGTGCATGCCAGGAGAAATTGATGCATAAACATAAAGCTAACATTCCTGAAGGACCGCAGGACATAACATTGATCAAGCAAATACAGTACCTGAGTCGCCGCCACTGCTGTATCATACAAACCATGATACCTTCTCCTGAGACTGCCCTTGTCAGCCAGAGACAATCCACTTACCCCTACCGGCCCCACCCGACACATGAATGGACCTTACTTATAAATACCTCGATCCAAACTGCAATGCCGTCACCAAGCTCGCAGAAAAGATCAGCACGACGACTCCCAAGCCGGCTCCGAGAGACAGGTGCGGAACCTACGGGACACCTACAAACCTTGCGTGAGGAAGCAGTAGAACGAGCCAGAAGTCGACAAGCACAACAACAGGACGGAGGAGACGAACGTGACTGGTGGCATACCTGGAGTTGGTGGTCTCCACACTCTCAGGAATGGCAATGGCAGACCTCGGACGGTACCAGGGCAACAGATGGAGACGCACAGGGATGGGGGGTGAACGTCATGAATACGCAGGCCGCAACAAGACGAACACAGTCCATGGAGGGACTCCTCAACGAGCTGGCTACCGGCGTTGCGGCAAGTTCGAGAAGGAAAGAGGCCAAGCGGTCCACACCCACGCCAACGACGAGTGAGACCTCCAGGCTGGATCTACGGGAGACGACGCACCAGGAGGCTGAGCACCCAAGCTCTTCTTTCCAGACTGGAAGTGACAGTGCCTCCTCCAATGCTCCTGTTGGGGGGGTGCGCTACCCTGCCTCCGGTAAGGTTAGTGGTCTCCACACCTCACCTGCGAGCACTTCAACATGCGGGTTGACACTCACTACCATCCAGAAGATTGAAGAACCTCCACTTGATCATGATTCTCCCGATACAGGGCCGATGAAGGCTCCAGCTGCCTCGAGCCGATGTTCCGATGAGCAGGAGACCAGACAACGGTCATCTGCTGCTAGGAGATCCAGCACCATAGAGCCACGGCCCGAGGAAAGAACACGATCGTCTGCAGCTCGGAGGGCCAGTACAATTGAGCCACGGCCCCATCTACTCCTGGTACAAGCGCCACTAGAGGTGAGAGAAGTCAAGCACCGTCTACTTAGGGACGCGAAATCGGCAGTGCTCAGGCTGATTCCGCATGGAGACGACCTCCATACTTTCCTCAACGGCTACTTCAGGCGGCACCATGCAACGTACCACGCCAACCCGGTGAACATGCCCTCGTGTGGGAACTGGATATGGTCGCTTACTGCAGCATTGATGACAAGGCCGGAAAACCACCCCAACGTCTGGAGGCGTAGCCACGCGGGAAAGCTGGGCGACGCGGTAGAGGGATATCTGTACACGTTATACCAGAGCCAGACGGCGGGGAATCTTGCCCTGCTGGCCACCTATGGGGAGGCTGCAAAGTACCTCCACGACCTGATGCAAGGAATCTCGCACGCCATCTACTACCGCCTGAGCTGGAGGCAGTCACTTGACTCGCTCGCGGAGCTTCTCGAACCATGGATAGGAGCAGCGTCTACACAGGACATGCGGTCCTCGCACCCCGTCGTGACACTGGCGATACTCGACCGCAACGAATCCACAGCCGTGACAGTTGAGGCGGAAAACACAGGGCTGGACAAGCAGCAGACAATGAACAGGAGGGAGGAGAGACATGGACCTCATAGAGGGGGCAAGCCCTTCTAACTCTGGTGAAGCTGGTGGTCTCCACACTTCACCCGTGGTCGGCCTGGTACCTGAGCCAATGCTCACAACCCTCAAAAAGCAGGCGGAGCCTCCACTTACTCTTGATCTCCTCGTTGCACCGCAGACACAGATGCCAGCTGCTTCGAGCCAGGGCCTTGGCGAGCAAGAGGCCAATCCGCGATCGACTGCAGCCAGGAGGTCCAATACCAATGAACCACGACCAGAGGCAAGACAACGATCGTCTGCTGCACGGAGGGCTAGTACAGTGGAACCACGGCCCCATCTACTCCTAGCACAAGCACCAGAGGAGGTACGACACGCTAAGCAGCGCCTGCTTCAGGAAGCGAAATCTGCAGTGGTCAAGCTCATTCCGCATGGAGACGATCTCCACAACTTCCTCCACGGCTACTTCAGGCAGCATCATGCGACGTATCACACCAGCCCGATGAACATGCCCGCCTGCGGAAACTGGATTTGGTCGCTCACAGCGGCTTTGATGACAAGGCCGGAGAGCCACCCCAACGTCTGGACACGCAGGCAGGCGGGCAAGCTGGGTGACGCGGTTGAGGGCTATCTCTACACGTTGTACCAGAAACAGACGGTGGAGAGTCTTGCCCTGCTGGCCATCTACGGGGAGGCAGCGAGGCACCTCCATGACCTAATGCAAGGAATCCCACATGCTATTTACTACCGCCTAAGCTGGCGGCAGTCGCTCGACACGCTCGAAGAGCTCCTCGAGCCGTGGATAGGAGTGTCAGATGCACAGGACAAGCGGTCTCCGCGTCCTGCAGTGCCACTGTCAATTCTCGACAGCAAAAAAGGGCCATGCAATCAGCTTGCGACACAAACTGCTGCCTGTACACATGTCACATCAAATGCGCGCAGTTGTCTTGGTAGACGAGGTCGCAAATGGCGACTACGACCGACCGTCAGACGCAGACACCTACGAGGCAGGAGGCGCCGAAACTGCACTTCTTATCCATTACAAAAACAATTCAGGCTTGCCACAAAGGCGCAACACATTAGGAACCTCCTACAGCAACACACTAATAAGATCAGCAGCCTGAGTACAAGGCAATCGACGTCAGCAAAAAAGCCTAAACCAAGACGAAAAATACCTGAGAAGACGAGCACAACTACACCTGGACTGAGCTTGCCCGGTCCCAAGTCCGGGCTCTACGCACTCATTTGGATGACACACCGCATCGCACGCGTAGGGGGGGTGAGGGTTCCCGTCTCCCACGGGGCGGGGGGACCCACAACAACTGATCGCCACTTTCGCGCATCCCTGGTGGGGAAGCAAGTGGCTGGCGAAACAACGGCGCCGGTGTTCGGGGCCGCAGGTGTCACCACTCAGGTGGGACGAAAAAGAAGCTTTCAGAGAGCACAACACCAGAGTACACAGAATCCACTTGGCTACACTCGATATCGAGGGAGGTTTATGCATTGCAGTCAGTTGGGTCTCCACACTGCAACCATGCCCAGCCTAACGACGGCCAAACCACGCCGACCTCCTTGCAGACCACGAGGTGGGGCACAGCAACGTCTCAAGGTCCTGTCCATCAATGTTAACAGCCTAAGCGGGTTCCTCTGGGGTGAAGTCAAGGCGTTTCTTGGTGGAGAGGGCCTGCAGTATGACTTCATATTCCTACAGGAAACGCATCGCACTGCCTTTTGCGCATTCAAGGTTGATAACTGGATGGCAGTTGGCTCCTCAACAAAACGGGGAGAGGGTGTGCTCACACTGGTTCATCCTCGTTACGATGCCTCCATGGTTCGTTACCAGGAGATAATCCCAGGCAGAGTTCTAAGAGTGAAGGTATGCCACAAAGAGGCAGCCATCGAAACACTTAACATATACCAACATGTTTGGATACACACGGATGATCCGGAACAAAACAAACAGAGGCGGCAAACCCTGCTCGATAAGTGCACTGCCACCATACAGGGCATGGCTAGAAGAGACACCCTGATTCTAGCGGGAGATTTTAACTCAGAGGTACACGCAGTAAACGGATTGATCGGGACACGCGTGAACCGCTCGGCCTATCACCAAGCCCTTGACCCACTCACACTTCCAAGATTCATACAAGACAACGCCCTGGTTGCTCTAAACACTTGGCATATGAAGGACCCATGCACCAACCACACCCGTACGGGCAACTCTCAGATTGACTATATCCTTGTGCGCGCACCAAGTGCTGACACCAGAGCGAAGCAAGTAGTCAAACAAGAGGCACCCTTTGGGGCGTGGAAAGAGCTCACACACTCGGCCCTCATTGCTGATGTCCGAATCATCAAGCACTTCCACTTGCCCAAGGCCAAAATGCAACAGGAACTACAATACTCGAGACATGACCTTGACTACGCGTATCGCCAGAAGGATCACCGAATCACACAATTAAAGAGTAAAGTGGAGTTGGAGATAAATCACAGCTTGAATCACGGCCTCCCACTGACTGCAGATCACATCAATCACACATTACTGCGTGAGGTCTCTGACCTCTTCCCAACAGCTACATCAGCACACACCAATCGAGGCCAAACCAAAGCACAGTGCAAGGCCATCTTTGCTGCGTGGAAAGAGCTGTTGACCCACCCTGACGAAGTAGGTGGCTCGACCATCACACTGCCTGCCCGCGTCTACCACATGTGGCAGAGACGTAGGGATCTTCAGCGATGCAAGCCATTCACCCTGTCAGGAGTGCTTCGCACATGGCAATGGGTGCTCCTCTTCAACAAGGCAGGACGGCAGAGCAAGCAATATCATCTCCAGCATCAACGGGCCATAGCACTGGGGCACTTACAGCAAGCTGAAAGGGCCGCTCAGACGCATAACACGAAGCGTCTCTATGGTGCAGTCAAGCGACTCCTGCCCTGGAAGCCCAAGCCCAGGATCATGCTTAAGCACCCGGATGGATCGCCCATGTCTCTGCACCAGGAACACCAAGCACTTGTCCAACACTGCAAACAACTCTTCGCACCCCCGGCGGCATCTCCCACTCGACCAGGCCAGATGCTTAGCATGCCTTTGACTGCCTGTGAATGGACGACACAGCTCAAATGTACTCCTATAGGCAAGGCCGTGCCTGCGGACTCCGCTCCGGCCACAGCGTGGAAGGCCTGCGCGACAATTGTGGCGCCAGCCATGGCCTGCATAGCCAAAGGACTTCAGCCGGTAACCTCTGCACTACCTGATGCATGGAAGAACCCTCAGTTGTGTTTCCTTCCCAAACCACATAAGCCTCCATCCACCGCAGCTGCTCTCAGACCTATAGGCCTACTCAGACCGGATGGCAAGGCGTTTGCAGGCCACATCAAAAATCAGCTACTGATGCAGGCCTGCGCCAGCCTTACTCACACTCCACAGTATGCATACCTTCCGGCACGGGACACGTCGGATGCGCTGGCAAGGGTCAACGCATGCATACATGACATCAAGGACGGTCTTAAGGCCTTGGGTGGGAATAGGTTCCTGACGAGACAGCGCAAAGAAACTGGACAGGTCAAAGGCGAATCAGGAGGGTGCCTCCTGTCAGTCGACCTCAGCCAAGCTTTTGATCGTGTCAACCGTGCAAAACTAGATAGAGCGTTGGCACTCCACCAGGTTGATGCTGACCTTAGATCTACCGTCACCGCCATCCACGAGCAGGCTGCTTACCAGGTCAGGGATAAATTTCACCGGACAGACATCTGCACGACGCAAGGAATTCGCCAGGGATGTCGACTAGCACCAGCCCTATGGGCCGTGCTGTCGTCTCAGTTACTCTGGGATCTTACTCCCGCTGGTCAAACGCCGCTGCAGCTTCCATTCACGTTGTTCGCCGATGACCATTTAGGCCATTGGCTTCTCAAAACGGTGGATGATGCCAAGCAAATGGAGGAGACGATAGTGGCACTTTTTCACATGTTGGAAACATACGGGCTCAAGGTTAATCCGGATAAATCCAGTTTGGTCATTCGGGTCCAGGGAGCGCAACTTGAAAAATTTGTCAAAAGCCGCACGGTTATAGTTCGCAACCAGGCGCATTGGAAACTACAAGATGGAGCACAAACACATCTCATACCGATGTGTGAATCCATCACTTACCTTGGCGCCAAGCTCACACTGAAAGAGGGCACCGGCCATACACTTGACTTTAGGCTTGCTGAAGCTGAGGCGAAAGTTACGCAACTTCGCAAAAGCATCAGATCACGCAAGGGATTGTCCAGGCACTACAGAGTACGGGTTTGGCAGGCTTGCGTGGTAAACAGTGCGCTTTATGGTCTGCTGACTACTCCTTTCTCTGGCCAAATGATAACTAAGCTGAGGGCGTGGTTTCACCGCCAACTCAGAGCGGTCACAGGCATGCCAGCTCACCTCACAAAGGTGAGTAATCAGACGCTGAGAGAAACCTACAACCTGAAGGATCCTGTACACATGCTGACGGAACGCATTGCGCGCAAACTTGATGCTATGCAACAAGGACGAGGCGATCCTGCCACGTGCGAAACCAAGACCTTTGAGTATTGGCAAATGCTACACAAACAACTTGCCAGCCATGCTGTGGAACAACGCACTGTGACGCTGGTGGAACTCTCCAGCTCTAGCCAACATGCCTGCTCCATATGTGGCCTATACTACCCGACCCAAAAAGCCCTTAGGCAACACCAGGCGCTCAGACACGGACAGATTCAAGCCAACAAACTCAGTATTGACTACAAACCCGAACAACATTCTGTTGCGGGCATGCCACAATGCAAACACTGTCTTCTGAAGCTGTATGACTGGGGTGCATTAAAAGGGCACATCATGCAAAACGTGTGCGGTTGGCACACCAAACAGCTCAGCGACTCGAACAACAATAGCCAGCAGGATACGAAGACTGTTAAAGAAACAGAGCCTGTTCCACACAAGGTCGACACCCCACATACCCCTGTTGACCCTAAAGAGCGGCAACACGAACCACGGAACACCACGACTGAGGAGAGCACGCTCCTGCAAAACGAAGCGACACTGGCATTGCTTCAAAGTCATGAGGGAATATGCACCCAAGCAGCATTACACAAAACCTACCTCAAACAGCACTGCGGTTTCTGTGGCCGCTGGATCGCTGATGCCGGCATGATTAAAACGCATATCCAGAGAGTGCATACGAATCTTGCACGGCATATCACCTCAGACATACACACTTCATGCCAGGCCTTCAAGCACCTCTTCAAAAGGGACCATACATGTGAGTGGTGTGACAGAATGGTGCACGGCTCAGATCGGCATTGCTCTCAATGCCCAGTTCTTTTTCAGCTGATACTTGCAAGGACCAGCAGACAGGCGGCCTCCGCTTCACCTGAGACCCAGCTCCCTGCAGTATGGCCTGTACCACACCCAGGGATGGACGTTGCGATTTACCTCAAATCACCTACTCAAGATGAGATGCAACTGCACATACAGCACATGTCCATGCTTGCCAAGACACGATGTCTCCTATGCGGTGAACAGGTGCAAGACATCCAACACTGGCGACGACACATGGCGCAGCGGCATGACTCTCAGAAACAGCTTGTCCAGAGTCTAGCTCAATCCGAAACACTACTACAAGCACACGTTGCGCGACCTTGCTGCTGGTGCAATGTCCACTTCCCAAAGTCTGCTCGAGAACATAGACGAAAGTGCCTCCCTTTGCTGCAGCTCTGCCTGTACCATGACCTCCACGTCAGTGGAGACCACGCCGGAGCAACAGATGGCGGCAGTGTGGGGCCTCAGCTCACCACTGGCGACGACGCCTACACCACAGAGACAAGCGTCCGTCAGACACAGACTGCCGCAAGGGACGCCGCAAAAGTACCGAAAGGGCATGGGCAAGGGCGCAGGCAAGGCAGCTCCCAAGGCAAAACGGGATCGGGACCAGGAAGCAGAAGACGAGTTGATGATGGACCTGGAGTCGCTGGACGAGGAGACGGTAAGAACGGCCTTGAAAACCTTGGTCAAAACAGCACTCAGACACGAACACCAACTGACGATCTTGGAGGCAGACCGGAGCTACGTGTTCTTCCTGGACACGACGAACCACGGCATTGTCTCCATGTTGATCCAGGCCAGCGCAACATGGAACACAAAGTTCGAGGAAGGCACGGTCAACACCTCGCTGAGGGCCACGCTATGGGGAGTACTACTCATGGAATGGAAAGCACGCCTCGAGAAAATCGAGTCCGACGCCAAGGTACTACAGGTAGCAGAAACAGCAGGATGGGCAACGCGGTCTCCGCTCCAGTGGATCTACAACGAGTGGAATCCGGTACAGAAAAAGGCGCTACCATCAAGTCGGGACAACCTCACTCACGAGGACGCAAAAAAGGCAGTCAACCAGCTCATCACAAACACCGCCAAGGACAACACAGTGCACCGGTTCCAAAGCCTACGACCACTGAAGCCGGACCTGCAGGCGGAAATGATCACCATGGTCCTGACACTCACCGTCCATCAACAGGCGGCAGCCGTTTACCACGACCTGGACCTCTTGGCAAACAACTGCGCGGGCAAGCTGATCGGTCTACGCTTGAGACGGGAGCGAGTGGGCAAGACGACGCTCACCAAGGAGCTCGAGAGACTGCAGATCTAAAAAGCAAGCAAGAGAAATTCGGGGGAAAGCGGACTCCGCGCCCCATGCTCAGTCAAAACGAGACTGAGAAGGAGCAACTGCAGACAGGCATCCGCAATTTCTTTTCAGCCCCCGTCCATGCCATGTCAGCGAAAAAACCCCGTAGCACTCTGAATGATCCGGCCTGCACTAAGAACAAGGTCAAAGGCAGCATGGATGGGGCTTTGGGGCATTCGGTGAGTGCGACCACTGAACAACCAGTGAAGAGTACACCGAAACAGGGTCAAGTAGGCATCCCATCAAGGGGGAAACATGGGACTGCGGGCGCGGGGACAAAAGTGGAGGGCTCTTTATTGGCATGGCGCACCCGCGATCGTATAACCAATGAGCCTCATGCTAGATCACTCGCACTAACTAATCCACATAACCTTTGCTATGCCAACGCAGTGATTCACATGCTGCACTATGCTCGGTCCCATGATGCTTTTATATCAGGTCTGGGCGAAGTCAATGGGGCCATCGTACAGGCCTCAAGATCCAACCAGCACCTGAATATTGCCAGACACCCGGCATGGAACTTCATATGGCCAGGATGGCAGAAGCCCACGCGACAGCATGACGCGGCTGAGTTTCTGCAGCACCTTTGCAACCGCACAGACTGCGTGGCACTCAAGGGGGGATGGGAAGCTAGACGCCCACATGCAGGGGCATATGAAATCCTGGATGAGCAGTTCAACTGTCCACACATAAGACTGGTGGTCCAACACCCCTTCAGAATACAGGATGCAGTAACAGCTTGGCATACACAAGACCCGCCACATGCCTTAACTAGACCCCCCGAACTTCTCATCCTCCAGATCGGACGATTTGTCCAATCAGCCGGAGGCATTAGGAAAACGCGGCAGAGGATTGAAATGCACAAAAATCTCACAGTTCCCACCTTCACTGGACATGCCGGTGACGTTGTCAACACCCCGTACAAGCTATGCGGAGGGGTCATGCATATAGGCAAGGTGGTAACGGCCGGGCACTATCAGGCATTCTACTTTCCTGGTGACACTGAGGATATTTGGTCCTGCCACCTCGTACATGACGACGGCCAGGCCGCCACGCCAGGGACGGATGCCACGCGACAGGCCATTCTTACCAACTGCTACTTGCTTGCATACCGCATCAATAGCCATGTGTGACTCTACATGGGAAAGTGGCCTCCACTCCCCACTGGTGTACACAGGACACTCATGATTCTCAAGCTCTCAAACATGAGAGGCTAACTCTCTACACTCAGTACAACAAGGCCTGAGGTCTCCTCGCCTTGTGAGTCGACACTCTGACAAGGAGTAGACATAGGCTGTAGACAAGCTGGCCCTCATGATGTCTCCTGTACAGTTTTTTTGCTTGTTAGCTTCACTTGTTAGTTCCCAGCTGTGACACCTCAGCTGTCGGGCTCTGAGGAGCACAGCTTTGCGGCTGCCAAAGGCAGTATTTATCTTTCTAGGATTGTACAACTTTGCTGTCGGGCTCCACGGGGCACAGCAGGGTTTTTATCTGCCTCACACCGGCGAACCCTCCAGCAGAGAGGGGTGACTAGCTCACACTCGCCCGCATGACAACTGCCACAGTTGATGCGAATGAATGAAAAAAAAACGATCCGCCTTCACGCAGTATGTCCTGCGATGCTTTACCCGAGACCTTCAAGCTGCCCTGCGATCAGGTGCGGCGCGCGTACCTTAGCTTGAGGGGTCGAGTCTGCAGTATGCTCTCGTAGCCTGGATGGGGGTGTGGGTGGCAACTCGAGCGACTGCGCTCTCGGGCAGCAGAGATTTTGGGATTGCCCACTTTCTCTTGCTATATGCAAGCACTCTTCACCGTGCCACGCCCCCGTCTGTGTAAAAAGAAAGAGAAGGGTTGTTCGAGTGATTGCATGCTGTCATTTCATGTTCATGTCTCTCACTCTTTTGTAGGGGGATGCGATGTTTTATCTAATCACTTCCCTGTTTTGTTGATCGACAACTTGGCGATCTAAATTCTGGTGTGCCTTCCCAAGTATACCGAAAATAGGAGCGCCTTCTCGCAAGCGAGACAGCACCTTATTTTCTTTTTATACTTTTGCAATTCATGGGTGCATGAATTTTCATGAACATGTTTGACTTGTCCACCTTGTGAATTTTGATCTCTTCCGTCGCAGTGTGGCTGTGTGCAGCTCAGAGGATCAAAATTTTGTCCCGCCCGCCCTCCCTGGGTGGGGGTGTGGGTGGCAACTCGAGCGACTGCGCTCTCGGGCAGCAGAGATTTTGGGATTGCCCACTTTCTCTTGCTATATGCAAGCACTCTTCACCGTGCCACGCCCCCGTCTGTGCAAAAAGAAAGAGAAGGGTTGTCCGAGTGATTGCATGCTGTCATTTCATGTTCATGTCTCTCACTCTTTTGTAGGGGGATGCGATGTTTTATCTAATCACTTCCCTGTTTTGTTGATCGACAACTTGGCGATCTAAATTCTGGTGTGCCTTCCCAAGTATACCGAAAATAAAAGGGCATTTTTGATGCCATGACAAGAAATGTATCGGCCTTGCATGGCCTGCGATCCTCGAGGGCGGGTTTTGAACTTACTGTATCGGTTCAACAAGCGGTTGCCTTAGGGACCCAGCTTAGGTGGGTTAACGGGACTGCTCAGTTAGCCGATGGTTTGACTAAGGACAATGCGGGGGCCCGTAGGGGTTTCGTAGAGTTCTTAGCTAGAGGTCAACGGTGGAGTGTGGTTCATGACCCGTCTTTCACAGCAGGCAAGAAACTGACGAAGCGACAGTTACAGCAGAAGCTTATATAAGGATCAAGAGAACTTCTTCGTCGGTGCCTTGAAGGCATTTGCCGCTTCTTCTCATTATCCCTGGTTCGATTTAGATCCTATGCCGTACGATGATATTGAGCCCAGAAACCTCAAAGAAGTATTAGGGATATGAGTTTGAAGCATGACACACGTTTCACATGAGGTTCTGAGCTTGTGCAGGACTGAACTCTGTCTGCAGGGTGGGATTTCTCGAGCCACGCAGGAAAAGATAGGGAGCGAGGCCTGTGGGCCTGCTGATGTTGTGGCGCACTGCTACTTCAATGATCTCATGCAACCTTTAAAACTCTCAGGATCATCAAGACGTGCCACTTCCGCATTCAGCTCGTGCAACTTCCAACCTTGTGGCCCATTTATGAGCGTCGTACGAAACCTGACATCATGCGCTGCAAGAGCAGTAGCACAGTCGATCAAGCGCGAAGAGTTGCATCGGTTGACATGCACACCTTCAGACAACACCTGGAACCTCTCGGTGAGTGCAAGGAACGGACCATGAAGCTGCAAAGCGCGCACATCACAGGTGGGGTCACTCATCACAACACGGATGTCACCACGCACAGACAAGGAATTTTGCTTCAGGTACAACGCAGGAATCTTGATGCCATCGCGTTCAAGCACAAGATTATCGTCCTGATCTCTGCCAACACTCCACCCGACGCGGTAGAGCTTGCCAAGTGACAACAGGGGACTCGTGACGGGTGCAATGAGCCAGCGATCCTTCACAGATGCACCGCTGAGCTCAAGGACGGCCTCACGGATGCCATGCGATTTCAAAGGGTTCCCCTGAGCATCCCGGTACCAGTGATTGGAAGATGCAACCTTGTGACCCACATTGGCATAGGATTCAGGCAGGCAGGAGTGGTCAGCGCCTGAGTCCAACACGATTTCCACCTGCTGGTGGCGCACATGGTCACCTTGCCGCTGGAGGGCACGCACATCACCCGGTGGAACAGGCTCCTGGGTATCATCGTCCCATGACAACCAGTGTGCATCATCATCACTATATGTCATGTCATAGCACATACCCGCAGAAGGACGCATGGAATGCTGCACGGGCACTTGAACAGGTGGAGGCCGAATCTCGCGATTTCCTTGAAAATCGGACAATTTCGCCTGGGAGGGCGGAATCTCGGGTTTTCCCTGGAAAACGGACAATTTCGCCTGGGGCGTCTCGGCTGACAACCCAAGAGGAGAGTTTGCAACCACATGGGCTCCCAGCAGAGGAGCACTTCCTGAGATGGCACAACAAGCTGCACAAACTCATCGTTGCGCCCATCACGTACCATGCGCACTTGCCCATCACTTGCATCCAGCTGGCAAAGGTCAACTTCAACACGGCGCACAGAGCCCGGGACTACAGTGCTAGACGACGGGGCCGCCGAGGATGTCGCGGCTTGCGAAGCAGTCGTGGCTGTCTCAGCGCCGGCGACCTGATTCACTGAGGACTGACCCTTAGATCTCCAGCACTCCTGCGCATAGTGGCCCTTGCGCCCGCAATTGAAACACTCTGTTTGCGATTTGTCGACCTTGCCTTTGCTCTTGCCTTTGCCTTTCTCATCCTTGCCACCTCCCTTTTTATCCTTGCCCTTAGGTTTCCCTTTAGGATTCTTGCCTCCATCACCCTTAGGCTTGCCCTTGCTGCTACCCCTGCCTTTAGAGTTTCCGCGACCACCTTTGCGCTTACCCTTCTGAACTGCATCCACTTCCATTGGCACGACATCAGGATTGACAGGAGGGTCCACGATGCCAAGACTCTGGTGAACCTTGGTCACACTCCAAGACGTGGTGGTGATCTCATAAGCAAGGATGTAAGACCTGACGGATTCATAGGTGGACGCTTCGGTCATGCTCAGCTGCACGTGCTGACGGATGGCCTGAGGAAGACACCTCATTAGGCTCCCGAGCATCACGTTGGGGTCGATTGCACGACCACTGACGCGTTCGTACTCTCCGCAAACACGCTCTAACCCATCTACTTGCTCCCGAAGGGTCTTAGACTTTTCAAATACCGGATATGCCATCACGGCATTTAAAAGAGCCATCGCACGAACTCGGCGAAAACGTTGTTTAATTGTCTCCATACTTCGAAACCAGAACGCTCCTGCACTTGCTTCAGAATCGACTTCGGTTTGTGATGAAGAACGGTAGCAAGTATTGCGTATAGGCGACGCGAGCGATCAAGGACATCGGCCGGAAGGCCTTGCAGGGAGTATGTGGTGCTAAGGTGGGCTTCAACATGAGCCAGCTCTTCCTCGTATCTGCCATCGGCAAAGATAAGCCACGTGCGAAAACTATGCGCCCAATCTTGCCATTGGGACAGGTCAAAACCATGATCAGTGGAACCGAAGTTGGTTGGCCTGCTTAACACTTTGTTGGCGTCCCTGAAGCCTGACATACTAGATGCACCTGCATTGCCTGGAGTCCCGCCACGGACTGCCTGCACGGCGGCAGCAGCCGCTTGCGCTACAGCCTCTGTCACTATTTCTTGGGCAGGTTTCTACCTGCTTCTTGCGCAACATTCTCTGTGCAGGTTTGACCTGTTTCACCTTACCGTTAAAGACTACGGTCCGAACAGCGCTGCAGCCTCAGATGTCATCATCATTTGCTGCATCATCGCTACCATCTGACTCATATCCACAGCACCTGCTGTCGGTGACCCTACAACAGGACTGAAAGGATTCGGGAACGGTCCCTGAGGACCCGCAGTGGCACCTCCAGGGGTTGCATGTGGTTGCAACTCTGGATCAGAGATGTCATCATCAGCATCAGCCAAATCACTCAGTGTCACGGGGAAGGCACCGCCACAAGACTCAAGCTTGCAAATGCACGCCAACAAAGGATCTCGTGGAAAGGAAACAACAAGGGGTATGCTGCTTGTCACGCAATCCTATGGCGCAATGCACCGATGCAAGGTCACGGAGGAAAAGGTGGGCTTGCCTTCCACCACACACCATGGCTCTTCGGCACGGCCGCCGGAACTGCACACTACGAACTCAGCTTACAAGGATCTGTGGAAACCCGAACGGAAGAACCTAAGTTCAAAGCCTGGGCCCCTGAACACAAACCCCAGACAAAGTTCCCACGTGTTCTTGTCACTACCTCTCAGTGTCGGGACTGGGTCCTGTCCCGCACGAGCCACCTCACAGCCCTGACCAAAGGAAAGGACCGCCAGGCGCTCCGCTACCATGCTCACATTTTGAACACTCAAAGGCCTGCGGAGTCACTCAAGATTCATCGGGCTCAACTACAGGGAGCAAAGTAAAAACACAAATCAGTACTAGAAAATGTGGGCTTCTACACAAACGGAAAATCCTTAGCAGAATGTCATCGTCCTTGTCCGACAGTTCCGGGGACGTTATTTCGGCCGCAACACCAGCTCCGAAGAGGGCTTGGAGGGCTTCGAAGGGGGCTGAGGGCTTCAAGGAGTTCAAGGGCTTCGAAGCCGAAGGGCATGGGGGCTTGAGGCGGGCTTCACGGGGTGCTTGAAAGGGATGCTTCAAGGTGCTTCGAAGCCTCTGCCATGTCAACAAGAAACAAGAGGGTAAAAATTTGAATGCTTTCCACTTCTCTGCCATGACAACAGGAAACAAAGAGGTGAAATTCAGAATAATTATCAGAATTTACAATACTTGCCATTCCTCTGCCATGACAACAAAAAACAAGGGGGTGAAATTTACGGGGGCCGGTGCTTTGTCAAGCTGTTCCCGTTCCTCGTCAGTTTTCAAGGGTATCAAGAGAAGCCTTCATTTTTTAAGCACGCGGTGCACTGCACTCCACTTACTGTCACACTCAGTCCCCGGCGGGTCAGCGTACACAGTCTACTGTGGTTGGCTCTTTCGGCAAGCAGAGAGAGAAAGGGAGAGACTTTGTTTCTCAGAATGCAAGGAATACCCCTCCGAAAAAGATTGACAACTTGACCAAAACTTGCATATGAAACGAAGACATTTCCCGGCAGTTTCCTTGCAGTCACGAGTACTGTCCCGAGCCGATTCGGTCAAGCATTTTCCGCAGGCATTTTGCATTCCTGCGCGTGGCATCCTGTCTGCTCGGTCGTTGACTTCTTGTCTGACCGTTCAAGCCCGACGTGGACTCGGCTAGCCAACCATGCATCAAACCTGCCATCACCTTTGCCGACTTTGATGTTTAGTTTTGTTTTATTTTTCAACCACAACAATATTTCGATGTTTGGAATTCTCTCACATGTGCACTTTCTTTCGTCAAAACAACAACGCGTTTGCCCCCCCCCTGAGAGGTGCGAAATGCTTCACATGTGTTTGTTGTTCGTTGTGCGTTGTCGTTGTGCAAAAGAAGGTTACTCTGGTCATGCGTGTGGTTTGTTCGAACTCATTCAATGGAAGTTTCCCGATCTTCGCCAGGAGTTTGTAGCGAAAAATCATGTTTTGTAAACACGTCAATGACACGGCTTCGTTTTGCAAACGCATGGCACGTAAGAGAGACACAATGCCATTCAGTTATATGTGAGGCAGTGTGTCCGAACGCAGCTGGAACATGCTCGAACACATATTTGTGCGGCACTGTTGGTGCACGACATCGCAGATGGGATTCTAAATATCTTCAAATGGTTCGATGTCATTGGAAGCCTGTTCAAAGGGTTGAATCCACAAGCCGTTTCACGGTTCGCGTTCTGCAACCCACACAGCACAGACGATGATACATTGCATTGGGTAGTTCGTTAGTTCGCTTTACAGCAATGGCCGAGTGGCCAAATGAAGGGAACCATGACCATGAAATGCCTTTTGAAGAGGCGCGTGCGACTAGCAATGTGCGTGAATTCATGAATTTGTGTTGCTTCGTTCAACATGCATTTGAGTGCATGCAGGTTCGTGCACTCCTCACGCAGATGCAAGTTACAGACAAGGCCCAACTGTGCAGCATGGCGTTTGCAGCACTATTCACAACTAGCTATCACTTTGTTGGATTTTGTATTCTACCGATGTTCTGGCGAGGAGCTTCTGGATGACGGATTTGTTGCAGGATCCGGCGGTTGGACCCTCAATGATGTGCCTGTGCAGGTGCAATGCATGTTCCTGCTTATTGGATTCGCACAGGTTGGGAAATCTCCACAGCAGTGTGTCTTTTCGTGGCACTTGGTGGAATGCTGTTAGGACGGCATCTCAGTACTGCAGCCTCAGCTTGTTTTCCTCCATGTACAGTGGCTGCGATTCAATGTTGCTTTGGTTGGCTTGTGCCCGGTGATGGTGGATGTTTTTCGCATAGAGTTGTGACAGCTGTGATTCAGTCGTTTCTTGCTTGTGCGAGGCATTGAGATTCAGTTAGACATTGAACAGGGTCCTGCACTTACTTGATGGGGTGTTATTCCTGGATTCAGACACTGTATTGCCTGTCCAGGTGAGATCCGCTTCTTTGCTTTGGGCGGCATCGTGGGCCCACTCCTTGCAGTCAGCTTGCCTTGTTGCACTGCGGTTGTGAGCAACTTTGTCGCCAATTTGCAGGGCATGACATGATGAAATGGTTGATCGGATTTTGGCGTTCGGCATGTCAGGTGGTATCATGCCTGATCGACAGTTTGGGACGCCTGGGATTCTTGTGGCTCGGTTTGCTGCCCAGACACTGACTGCACTTCAGAAGTTTGCTGAAAAGTTCGATACTTGTGAATGTCCGTGAGGTGGAATTGGATTTTGCATTGGCGCAGCAGTGCAAAGCAAAAACCTGAGGTTACGTTGCTGCCAACATTGCATGAACTTGGGTATATCGACTGCTCAGGATTTTATCCTTCGCAAAGCGTGCTGCCCAATGGAGCTTGTATCTCAGGCGGGGTCCCTTTGACAGTTGCTTCAGCAAGTGTTGCGGAAAATCATTCAATTTAGGACCGTAATTGCATTGTAAATATTTTGAAATGGAAACGACCAGCTTGAGCGGCGGGCTAAGTGCGACATCCGGGTGATCCCCCTGTCTGTCGTCGAATCATTGTGTACAGGGTCGTTATGCCAAGCACACCTTTCAAATGGCAATCCAGCAGCAGGGTGTTGACCGAACTCATGGCATCATTGACAGGGGCCGCCGCAGGTTTACTTTGCGCCGGACACCCGTTGTCTCCCCAGCGCATGACTTCGAGCAGACTGTTCGACAGACTGAGGCAAGCATTCCTATCTTTCAGGGTGAGGTATCTCATCCGGACTGCCGCTGTCGGTGATGCGTGCGATGCTGTGGAAGGGCAACGGGTGGTTCTGAAGTGCGCAGGAGCATCGTGGTGCAATGGTTACAGCGTACCAGTACAGCTCTGCCGTTTGTCGTCCTTGCAGCTGGAATCCTTCGGGTCAGAGGTCTTTTTGAAAACGGCCAGGCTTGCCATCGCATTCGGCATCCTGGTGACGTCGAGCCTTGAGGTCTGGGTTCACCCAAGTGTGTGTGGCTCTCATTTTGCACTGCAGAATTACCAAAGTTCTTTCCGCATCTTTCCACAGCCTCAAATTGGAATCTCAGGTCCACTTCAGATGTCATGGTGCTTGTGCTGGCAGGTGGGGATAGGAACGATAGGGACTGCAGAGCTCAGGGCTTGGGAGATTGATGGAGAACATCGCTGAGTCCTCTGAGGCCTGCTGACAGGGGGCGTGTATTTCCTGCTCGCTCCTGAGCCGTCAGCGTGTTTGTTCAGAGATGTGTTATGAGACAAGCATTCAGGCCCAATTCCTACAGATGGCTGGTTTCCAGGTTCAGCGGCCATGGAGAACGGCTGACCCCATTTTTCGATTGTGATGAACTTTGTGTCAGGAGAAGATTCAAAGAAGCTCTAGAGTTGGCTCGCCGCACGTGCGGTTCCAGCCAAGATGTCAGGCCAGCATTGGCGCCTTCTGGCGGTGTTGTTGCCTTAGAGCCCTGCAATCCTGCATGCTTGCTCAGATGCAGGCTTGAAATTGCAATGTGCTACAAAGAGTTCCGCAGAGAGCGGAAGCTTGGCAGCAGACATGCAACATCAAACGCAGCAGCAGAATCTGCACCAGCAGCATGCAGATCTTTATCTTTTGTGACCTGGCAGGGCAACGGGCAAGCCAAACTGGGTTGAGTTGCTCTCAGGCGTCAACCTCAAGGCCCATAGAATCGCCGTAGAACAGGTTTACATCAGTTCACGACCAACGGATGTTCTTCTGAACCTCAGGCGTTGGCGATAGCGGTGGTGCTCCAGCTTCTGCAGCAGCTTTGTGGCACAGGGCCGAGATTTCCACTTAAGTCCAGAGGTAAAGCGGTAGAGTGAGAGCAAGATGAGCAAGTCTGTCAAGGCTTTGTCTACTTCTTGCTTAATGGTGCAGACTTGATGAACAAGATCTTTCAGTCTTCAGGCAGTGCCGCTTCAATGTAAACCCTCTTCAACAGTTTCATGTGCTGGCAGGTGGCTTTGCATTTAGTCCTTGGTGCAGCACCCAGTCAGAATGCAGACACATGTCTTTACTTCGAACTGCGAGTGTTGTTGAGGTTTGTTACTGCCAACTTGATGGGAACACTTCCAGCAACACCGGCCCGATTTCGGCAGCGGTTCCTGGTGGCGACCAGTGCCAAAATGATGTTGTCAACGCACATTGGACGTTGGCGGCTTTCCCGATTCAGGTTTGAAAGTGGTTTAGAGGTTGTTGGGGCTGGGTTGAGGCGCAGCATGTTGGACTGTAGCCAAGCTTCGAGCATCGCCAGGCAATGCTCCTGGTTGATCGTGTGGGTCGGAAAAAGCTGCTTCTTTTCAGTGCAGCCACGATGATGACTTGCTGTTGCGAGCTTACTTGCATGATGATACGTGGCACAACTATTTAACAGACTGGGCGTCAGTGCCATCAATCGACAGAACACGAAGCAAATTGACTGCAGCGGTGCACAAGTGTGGAGCTGACCAGGCGTAGTTCTCGCTGCTGTGCAGGGCTCGGCAGTGTTTGTTAAGCTGAAATGGTGTGTTTGGGTTTGAATGGTTTGACTCACGTCGAAAGGCTGGCACCTGTGCCCACGTTGATGAATCATCCGCTGCGGGCCCAACTGGGAGTGTTTGCGAACTGTTGATTTCAGGATACTCACGTGTGCAGGGCAGGATGTACTTGCTGCAGCTACACAGCAGCCTTAGGCAATCGATGCCAGCGGGTGCAGTGATGCTTACAAAGCGGTGATGGCAGGCAATGCCGGCTCTGTTGGACCAATCGCAACGTGTCTCAAAGGCAACTTGCTTGGCACCCTCGCAGGTGCAATCCTCGTTCACACTTTTGCGTATGCGTGTGGCGGCATCCTTGGGGTCGTTTGAGCAGTTTGCAGCAAACTTACCGCCGTAACTTCAACATACTTCAACCAATGACTCCAGTCTCACAGACCAGCTTAGGTTGGGGACCCATTACTTGGGTTTTTTGTGCGGAAATCTTTCCGCTCAAGTGCCCGGGCTCATATGCATGCAGTAATGTACCCAGTGAGTCTAGAATGTCTGGCTCATGCAATGTGTTTCAAGTCTGTCAGTACTCTTGCAAGCCAGGTACAAATCCAAAGCAAGTGGTCTGGTAACGTCTGCTCATTGGGCTTGCGCCCGAGATCCTGTGGGTTTAGTAGGATATTGCTCGGCATTCCAGCGGGTTCTAGAAGAACCATATGATGTCTCAAACTCAAGCATCGGTCATGCTCTTGCCGCTTCTGCTGCGCGTTCCAGCTGCTCACATTCATCATTCGCACCTTCGTCAGTCACTTTCTGTGTCTTGTGTGTTTGCTTGAAATCAAATGCTTTTATTGTTTGAGTTTTCGCGTCGGTCCTTCATTCCACTCCTACATTCTGCTTCCTAACCTTAACACTCTTGACCTGAAATCCAAATGTACAGGCATGTTTCAATCATGGTGGCTGCAGGTTGCTTGCCACATTGCGATTCAGAAAGCTCTGTGCAAATGTCAGAACGCCACTTTTCGCAAGATTGCTTTTGCAAAGTAGCGTACGTAAACGGTGAGAAAGTTTTGTTGTCACAAAAAGCTGTTTTGCCGAGTCTTGTATCTGGAAGTACGTTATTCTGCTCAGAACTGGTATGTTTCTACAACCTCGGCCCGAGACTAGTGATCCGGGACCTCTGTAAATGCTGGAGGGGGTGTTGCTGGCTTTGGCGTGGCGAAGTTTGTTCGAACCATAAGTGTGTTGTGTGACAGCTTGGCTGGGTTTCCCGTTAACCTTCAACACTTTAACACAAGCGTCCGCGTTTAAAGCCAAGCATTTTGGAAACATACAATTTCGACTTGGACTTTTAAAAGCAATCGCAGCAAGCGGTTGGCATCATGCTTGTTCTTAGTGACTTATCATCATTCTTTTCTCGGAAGCCCACCGCATCATTGAGTGTTGGCCAGCATGTGGTTTCGATCAAAACTTGCCTTGCAACAAATTGTGGCATTCACACGATTGTGAAACAGTGCTTGACCACAAGAGATCATTTCTGGCCATGGCCGGATTTTCCAGTACAGTTTTAGTCCAAACGTGACGACAAAAGTGCGACATGAACTGCTCCTGTTTTTATCGTCACAGTGCGAAACAACAATTTGTTTGTCGACAGGTGACAAGTTGTTCTCGAGTGCGCCTTTGACAAAGGCCGTGAAGCAAGTTTTTGTTGGAAGCGAGTGGCTGTTCACACAAAAAGTGTGTTGATAAAGTGCGTTTTTTTTCCCCGCCGCAGGTTGGTGTTGCAACAGCACGTTGTTGCGAGTCGTTTTGGTGACTCGTTGTTTTTGCAAGCGCTGTTTGTAGAAGTTGTTTGGGCAAGCCGGGGCTTTGTGCAACACATGTCACATGTCACGTGCTTCTCGCAACATGCGGCATGTCGGATGCACTGTCTCATGCTTTCACGAATGATTCAGTGAAGCGCCGGGGCTTTGGAATCTGCGAATGAAATCATTAAAGAGCCGTGCAGTTCTATCTTTCTCCTTCTCTTTCTTACTGTGTGCTCCGTGTCGGATTTGTTCAAAAAAGTTGGCCCGACCCTGAGCTTGTGAGTGCCCCTAAGGTTGGCTTTTACATCGTGGTGAGGGCATCCGGGCTGCTGTTGCCAGCAGTTGGTTTTCAGATGTCCTTTGCTTAAGTCTCCCTGCTAGCAAGGCACACGCCCTGCAAAGTAAGCAGTGGGCGTGAACCCAGGTTTTGGATTTTCGCGTTGTTCAACGCTCTCGGTGCGTTCGCCAGTAGTGGCCCCAATGTGGCCAAACTGCGGTTTGAGAATGTTGCGCTGTGTTTCCGGAATTGCCACTGTTTACATCAGCAGGTGTCTTGATGCCAGAGACTAAAGGCAAAACGCTCGAGGACTGAGCCGAGAAACACTGTCGCCCGTGTCGCAGTGATAAGGCTTGGTAACTTGGCTAGCTTCTTGGCTAGCTTCTTGGGAGCAGGAAATTCAGCTCATTTTCGACCCCTGGTTGCGAGGGGAGGACGCTGTGACCTCTCTGCTTGCAGGGGCTGACTGCGGTTCGGACTCACGCTGATCTGACAATTGGCTGGCGAGGGGCTCTTGAGCACCTTTGTTCCTTTAGACAGATGTTTGTTCCTGGGCAATTGCAAATTTTTGCCCGGTCTCTTTGAATTTGCTGTCAGGAGACTCCCCGTGAAGTGATGATCTGCGGACAGGCCCATGATAGATGTTCGTTTCTGTGGGTTCGTACGCCCGTCCATCGAAGTTCGCGCACGTCGCAGGACGATTCTGATTACGACAATTACGAGTTGCGGGTGAAGCCTGTCAACTTCTGAGTCATTGTACGCTGACTGTAATAGTGTCTTGCGACACTTTCAGTCTTTGCAAGCTATGGTTTTATTGCAGCTGCTTGACTCGGATGCTTGGTTGGCGCTTCGTCATGCTGTGGGACTTGACATCAAAATTCAAGCCCAAGTGCATCCTTGCTGCACTTCTCCAAGCATTCTGGTTTGGAGATAGGCAATGTTTTGATGCTGCGATGGACGGCCCTTACTAGAACTTGATGAGACAGTTTGCTTCGTAGATGGTGTGTTCCATATGCCCATCGCGCGTCGATTTACTCTTGCCGGCAATGCGTGTACAAACAGTGCAAATACGGCACGTTTTCCTGCATGCATGTCGAGACTGTATAATGATTCAGTATCGATTCGACTTAAGGAAAGGTGCATCTGGGCATCTCTCACTGCAAGTTCTGCCGAGTGGAAATTCATGGGCTGAACAGACACTTGTGAATGCGCGCGCTCTTTCGTATGGCGCTGTAACCAGGCTCAATGTGCTTATGGAGCCGTCGGGTGACCAATGTGCAGCTGCTAAAGTATTGACATGGAACTGTGCTGCCTATGCTTAACAGTTCCTCCCAAGGTACCTTTGCACTGTAAGAGAAGCAACATCTGCAGGGTAGTGTCCACATCAGAGCAGGTGTAGAGTTGTGGAGTAACCGTTCAACACAAGAGCATCGAATCACAGAGTTTCAGCAATCTGCATATGCTTCCAGGACGCTTCGGGTGCCCTCCTCTGATTACTTTGATGGGTTGCTACGGTGGTATGGTGTAAATGCGGGATGTAGCTGATCCGCATCTACTCTTCTAGCTCGCTGATTCAAAGATTCCGTTTCGAGTCTAAAGTCTGGAGTGTCGCTTTGCGGAGGGAAGTCCTTGGAAACCGCAGTGGATGATTTGGTGTCATCGCACAGTTGCCGGCTCCTGAGCAGACAGTGATTGCTGAAGGTCAGGAGCTGACCAAGAGCAATCAGCAGAAGAACTTTAACTTGCAAGGTTCATCACGGTGGTGGAGCCCACTACGATGCCAGGTGTCAGAGTGCCTGTGTACCGTCGCTACGAGGTTCGAACTCTGATGTTCTCATGTATCCGTTTCAACATCGCCGACTATCAGTAGGACTGCTTGCCTGCAGGATGCTGCAGAACGGGTTCTGGATCAGGCCTGTGTTTTGTAGTCATAGCAATCACTGCGATCATTGCAGTCATTGCGGTCATTGCGAACATTGCAATCATTGCAATCAGCTGCGCTTCGCCTCAGGATTCCTCAGCCGATGTGGCCATGGTCGGCTGCTCATAGTTTCGCTTTGTTTCACTGATCTGGGTATTAATTGCCAAGGATTCGGTGTCAGAACCCGAAATGTGAAGTGGGTGAGCAAAATTTTGCAATGGAGCATGTGCAATGGAGGGGGGCGCGTGCAGGCGGGTTTTGAAGCCAGATGAACGATGTCCAATTGCTTCTTGTCCTTTCTCGGTTGACCTTGCATGGTGTGATGACGTCCCTGCTTTCAGATTTGGCCGAAAGTCTGAAGGCTTTCTGGCAAAAATGGTCAGAAAATCTGCAGTCCCTCGAAAAGACAAGGCCCTGGGCCCTAAGAGAACTGGGCCCCCAATAATTTTTGGTATCCTCGACTCACGGCTTCTGGCGCACAATGCAAGTGCCCCTTTGCTAAGCAAAGGGGCACCTGCCTCTGCATAGACATGGACGGCGTAGTGCAGATCTGCAGCATGCTCTGCAAATAGCTGCGCAATGCTGCAGCAATTGCTGTTGATTGCAGTGCCAGGTCGGATTTCCGGCAAACTGGCGAGAGGCAGAGCTGCTCCGACCTGGGATTGGTGCGAGAGCCGGGTCTTGCATTGCTTCAGTGATCATACGTCCTAGGCGAGTCTGCCTGGGCCCAGTCTGCGACTGTGACTGGCTCCGGCTGGTCAAGGCCGACTGCTTTTGCAATCTCTTGATAAGTAGGTCAGCAGGTGCAGGCCTGGTGTCAGCTAGAGCACTTGTTGGGCATTTTGCGTCAGGATCATAGCGGCATCTCCGTCTGCCTGCTGCAGACAAGCTCGAGCACCATCCCGGCACTGCTTGTGGCACGGTGCGCCGTGTTGCCGTCCGACCAGACTTCTGAGTTTTGTCTCCTAATTGTAAACGCTTGCGCGCGCCGCCTCGGCAGCCGTCGCAAAGAGGAAGGGCAGAGCAGTCAAAGCAGAGGGGGGGGTGGGGGGGGGGGGGGGGGGGGGGGGGGGG